TCCATAGGTTTGGAGTGTCAGGATCCCCGTAGGGATTGGGGTGTTGGGATCCCCGTAGGGTTTGGGGTGTCGGGATCTCCATAGGTTTGGGATGTTGGGATCTCCATAGGTTTGGAGTGTCGGGATCCCTGTAGGGATTGGGGTGTCGGGATCCCCGTAGGGATTGGGTTGTTGGGATTCCCATGGAGATTGGGGTGTTGGGATCTGCATGGATTTAGGATGTCGGGATCCCCATGGGTTTGGGGTGTCGGGATCCCCATGGGTTTGGTGCACTGGGTTTCCCACATTGCTGTGCTGTCCCCGCAGGGATCAGAAGGCGGCGGAGCAGCTGACGCGGACCCTTCGCGGCGTGATGCGCGTGGGGCTGGTGGCCAAAGGGCTGCTGCTGAAGGGGGACCTGGACCTGGAGCTGGTCCTGCTGTGCAAAGACAAACCCACCTCCGAGCTGCTGCAGAAGGTGGCCGACAATCTGGGCGTGCAGCTGGCGGTGAGTGCGGCGGGGCTGCGGCGCTCGGTGCCGCCGGTTCTCCCGGCACGCCGGCGCTGAGCAACGCGCTGCCTTTCAGGCCATCACCGAGGACAAATACGAGATCATCCAGGCGGTCGGCGACGCCGCCATCGTCATCAAGAACACGAAGGAGCCGCCGCTGACGCTGACCATCCACCTGACGTCGCCGGTGGTGCGGGAGGAGATGGAGAAGCAGCTCGCCGGAGGTACGGCGTGCGGCGGCCGCCCGCGGGCGCTCCGAGCCCCACAGACGTTCCGTTCCGGTTCCCTCCTGGAGAGGCTCCTCAGTGTGGGCCCTGATGGGAGCGTTTCTCACCCTGGGGAGGGGGGGGTCCACGTCTGGGTGAGTTCCGAGCTGCCCGGCGCCCTCCAGGCGGGAGCTGTGAACCCGAGCGGCGCCTTCCGAGCGGCGCTTCGCTCCTTCTGTCCTTTGGTTTGTTTTTTTTTTTTTTTCATGGTTTTGTTTCTGTTTTTCGTTTTCCTTTCACTTTGGCCGTTGGTTTTGCTCACCCACCACGCTCACACGGCGCCGCGCTGCACCCGGAAATGCCGGGGATGCACCCAGAGCGCCCAAGGGATTGCATGCCCTGCGACGGGGCGGCTCCGTGCTGTGTGCTGCAGCAAAAGGGAGTGCAGCCCTGCTGCCCTGCCGCCCTGCTGCTCCGCTGCCCCGCTGCTCTGCTCACCTGCAGCGCTCCGAAGCGGCGCAGAGTTTTGGGTAACTTTGCCGTCCCTGTTTGGCCGCCGATCCGCCCCCACTGGGAGCCGCAGGCGCTGAGCTTTGTGCCGGCCCTGCACCTTTAGCCTCATCTAGAACCCTGGTGCTCTGTGCCTTTAGCCTCATCCAGAACCCTGGTGCTCAGCACTGCTTCCACACCTTTAGTGTTATCTACAACCCTGGTGCTGCGTGCCTTTAGCCTTACCTAGAACGCTGGTACTCAGCACTGGTTCCGCACCTTTAGCGTTACCTAGATCCTCGGTGCCACGTGCCTTTAACCTTACCTAGAACCCTGGTGCTCAGTGCCAGCCGTGCACCTTTAGCCACGTCTAGAACCCTGAGCTTAAGCGCTGGCCCTGCACCTTTAACCATATCTGGAACCCTGGTGCTCCGTGCCGGCTCTGCACCTTTAGCCTTACCTAGAACCCCGATGTCCAGCGCCAGCCCTGCCCCGGTAGCGTTACCTAGAACCCCGGTGCCCGGCCGGCCGCGCTCCCGTTTTGCTGCAGCACGCTCCGGGCCGCGCAGTCGGTGCTGTCCGTTCTGCCGTTGGATGTCTGACCTCTCCCGAGCCTTCGGTTTGTCCATTTTAGGGACGTTGGACCTTTGACCAACAGGACGCTGTCTGTCACTGCTGGGCCGGGCAGTCCCCCTCCGGGCCGAGGGGTTCCTGGATCCCGGCGGAGCTCCGCCCCCCCCATCCCCCCCCCTCACCCCCACTATTACTCAGCGGGGGCTGCTTGCGCCCCCCGCCCCCCAACAGCTCCTCCGGGAGCGCTCCCATGTGCCCCACAGCCCCTCTTTGTGCCCCACTCCCTCGCAGCGAGGCCGAACGCCCGCAGCCCCACCCGGAGCCGGAGCTCAGCCGCCCGCAGGGGGCTGCCCGTCCCCCCCCCACTGACAGAACCCCCCTTGGTCAAACTGTGCCTTGTCTTCTTATTCCATCCACGACTAGAAACGCTATCAGTCACCGACTCCCCGGACGTTCTGGACAGGCAGAAATGCCTTGCTGCCTTGGCGTCACTGCGGCACGCCAAGTGGTTCCAGGTTTGCATTTTGTTCTTCTCTTTGTCTTTAAGTAGCAAACGTGTAAACCTTAAACCTTAGCGGGGCTCTCGGTTCGGTTTAACGCCGGTAGCCGTGCCGGACTTAGCGCCTGTCGGCGGGACAGCCGCTAATGAGGCACTCGTTAACGAGCCAGAGGTCACAAAGGAAGCCCCGTAACGATGTAAAGGCCGCGTTGTGCCGGGAGCTCCGCTCTCCCCCCGCGCTCCGCCGCCTTGAATTGCCGCGTGGAATTCTGTTCCCCTTTGCCAGAGGAGCACCGAGCGCCGCGTGGCGTTCCCATTGAGCGCTGTCTGCTTCTGCTTCCCGTTCCAGGCCAGGGCGAACGGCCTGAAGTCGTGCGTCATCGTCATACGCGTGTTGAGAGATCTGTGTACCCGGGTTCCCACCTGGGCGCCGCTCCGAGGATGGGTAATGCTGCTTTGTGGCTCGCCGGGGTCCGATCGGTGCAGTTCGGGGCGGCCCCCTCCGCTCCCCCCCTCCCCTTCGAGCCCCACCTGCGGCACAGGAGGGACGTGGGGCAGCCGGAGGTGATGTGGGGCGGCCGGAGGTCGGAGTGGCTCCGTGGGGCCGGGCTGAGTGCTGGGGGTGAGCGGCTCGGATTGGGGAATGCAACGCGGCGCCCTTTGGGGGCCTGGAAGGACCTTAGAAAGAGGAGGAGAGCGGCCGTGTGGGGGGAGGCAGCGCAGGAGGAGGGGGAGAGGCTCAAATTGCTCTGGGAGGGGACGCTGGGGGCGGCTGGGGGGGGAATCCTTCACCCAGAGAGCGGTCAGAGCGCGGCGCCGCAGCTGCGGGTGCCCCATTCCCAGAGGTGCCCACGGCTGTGGGTGGGCCCTGAGCTGCTGGAGGGGTCCCTTCCAACCCAACCGTGCTGAGATCCTGTGGTTCTGTGAGCTTGCAGGACCCTCCCCGCACAAGTCCAGCCCATTCCGTGCTCCTGTGATCTTTGAGGACCCTTCCGACCCAAACGCAAAACCCCTCTGTGGTTCTCTCATCTTTGAGAGTTTTTCAACCCAACCCAACCCCATTTATCATTCCACGGTTCTGCAATCTGTAAGGACTCTTCCAACCCGACCTTTTCTGTCAGGTGGTTCTGCGGCCTTTAAGGACCTTTCCAACCCAAACCCAACATATTCTGAGGTTCTGCGGCCTTTAAGGACCTTTCCAACCCAAATCCAATCTATTCCAAGGCTCTACAGCCTTGAAGGAGCCTTTTAACCCAACCTGTTCCAAGGTTCTGCAATTTTGAAGGACATTCCAACCCAAACTCAACCCATTCCCAGGTTTTCCAAACTTTAAGGACCTGTCCAACCCAAACTCAAACCCATTCCAAGGTTCTACACCCTTTAAGAACCCTTCCAACCCCACCTCTCCATTCCAAGGTTCTTCAACCTTGGAGGAACTTTCCAACCCAATTTATGCCAAGGTTATACAACTTTTAAGGACCTTTCCAACCCAAACTCAAACTATTCTGAGGTGGGTACAACCTTTAAGAATTGTTCTAACCCAACCCATCCCGTGGTTCTGCAACCTTTAAGGACCCTTCCAAACCCAACCCAACAGAACCCAAACCTGTTCCATGCTTCTCTGACTTTGGAAGGCCCCTCCAGCCCTTCCTGTTGGGTTCCATGCATCCACGACCTTCAAGGTCCCTTCCAACCCAACCCAGCCGTTCCATGGTTCCGTAACCTTTAAGGACCCTTTTAAACTGACCCAACCATACCAGGGTTCTGCAACCTTGAAGGACCTTTCTAACCCAAACACAATGCATACTGAGGTTTTACAATCTTTAAGACTCTTCCAAATTCAACCCAACCCATTCCAAGGCTCTGCAACCTTGGAGGACCCTTCCAACCCAACTCAAAGCCTATTCTGAGGTTCTACAGCCTTGGAGGACCCTTCCAACCCAACCCCAAACCCATTCCAAGGTTCTACAGCCTTGGAGGACCTTTCCAACCCCAACCCCAAACCCATTCCAAGGTTCTACAGCCTTGGAGGACCTTTCCAACCCCAACCCCAAACCCTTTCTGTGGTTCTACAATCCTGAAGGACCCTTCCAACCCATACTCAAACCCATTCTGAGGTTCGACAACCTTGGAGGACCATTCCAATCTTATCCCAAACCCTTTCCGAGGTTCTGCAATCCTGAAGGACCTTTCCAACCCAAACTCAAACCCATTCCAAGGTTCTACAACCTGGAAGGATCTTTCCAACCCAACCCTCAAACCCATTCTGAGATTCTACACACTTGAAGGACCCTTTTAACCCAACCCCAAACTGGTTCCGAGGTACTACAACCTTGGTGGACCCTCCAACCCAACCCCAAACCCATTCTTAGGTTCTCCAACCTTGAAGGACCTTTCCAACCCAGCCCCAAACCCATTCCGAGGTTCTGCAGCCTTGAAGGACCTTTCCAACCCAAACTCAAACCCATTCTGAGGTTCTACAGCCTTGGAGGACCCTTCCATCCCAACCCCAAACCGGTTCTGATGTTGTACAACCTTGGTGGATCCTCCAACCCAAACTCAAACCTATTCTGAGGTTCTACAACCCTGGAGGACTCTTCAAACCCAACCCCTAGGTTTTCTGAGGTTCTAAAGCCTTGAAGGACCTTTCCAACCCAACCCCAAACCCATTCTGAGGTTCTGCTGCTTTGAAGGACCTTTCCAACCCAACCCCAAACCCATTCTGAGGTTCTACAGCCTTGGAGGACCCTTCCAACCCAACCCCAAACCGGTTCTGATGTTCTACAACCTTGGTGGATCCTCCAACCCAAACTCAAGCCTATTCTGAGGTTCTACAGCCTTGAAGGATCCTTCCAACCCAACCCCTAGCTTTTCTGAGGTTCTACAACCTTGAAGGACCTTTCCAACCCAAACTCAAACCCATTTCAAGGTTCTACAGCCTTGGAGAACCCTTCCAACCCAACCCCATACCCGTTCTGAGGTTCTACAGCCTTGGAGGACCCTTCCAACCCAACCCAAACCCATTCTGTGGTTCTACAGCCTTGGAGGACCCTTCCAGCCCAACCCCAAACCCATTCCAAGGTTCTACAGCCTTGAAGGACCCTTCCATCCCAAACCCATTCTGAGGTTCTACAGCCGTGAAGGACCCTTCCATCCCAACCCCAAACCCATTCCGAGGTTCTGCAACCCTGGAGGACTCTTCAAACCCATTCCAAGGTTCTACAACCTTGGAGGACCCTTCCAACCCAATCCCAAACCCATTCTGAGGTTCTACAACTTGGAAGGACCTTTCCAACCCAACCCCAAACCCATTCCGAGGTTCTGCAGCCTTGCAGGACCCTTCCAACCCAACC